CCCTGACGTGTAGGTGTAGAATCAGGCATGTAGGTGTAGACCCAGGCGTGTAGGTGTAGACCCAGACGTGTAGGTGTAGACCCAGTCGTGAAGGTGTAGAATCAGGCATGTAGGTGTAGACCCTGACGTGTAGGTGTAGAATCAGGCATGTAGGTGTAGACCCAGGCGTGTAGGTGTAGACCCAGGCGTGTAGGCGTAGACCCTGGCGTGTATGAGTAGACCCAGACGTGTAGGTGTAGACCCAGACGTGAAGGTGTAGACCCAGACGTGTAGGAGTAGACCCAGACGTGTAGGAGTAGACCCAGACGTGTAGGTGTAGACCCAGACGTGTAGGTGTAGACCCAGACGTGTAGGTGTAGACCCAGGCGTGTAGGTGTAGACCCAGGCGTGTAGGTGTAGACCCAGACGTGTAGGTGTAGACCCAGTCGTGTAGGTGTAGAATCAGGCATGTAGGTGTAGACCCTGACGTGTAGGTGTAGAATCAGGCATGTAGGTGTAGACCCAGGCGTGTAGGTGTAGACCTAGACGTGTAGGTGTAGACCCAGTCGTGTAGGTGTAGAATCAGGCATGTAGGTGTAGACCCTGACGTGTAGGTGTAGAATCAGGCATGTAGGTGTAGACCCAGGCGTGTAGGTGTAGACCCAGGCGTGTAGGCGTAGAACCTGGCGTGTATGAGTAGACCCAGACGTGTAGGTGTAGACCCAGACGTGAAGGTGTAGACCCAGGCGTGTAGGTGTAGACCCAGGCGTGTAGGTGTAGACCCAGACGTGTAGGTGTAGAATCAGGCGTGTAGGTGTAGACCCTGACGTGTAGGTGTAGACTCAGACGTGTAGGTGTAGAATCAGGCATGTAGGTGTAGACCCTGACGTGTAGGTGTAGAATCAGGCATGTAGGTGTAGACCCAGGCGTGTAGTTGTAGACCCAGGCGTGTAGGCGTAGACCCTGGCGTGTATGAGTAGACGCAGAGGTGTAGGTGTAGACCCTGGCGTGTAGGTGTAGACCCAGACGTGTAGGTATAGACCCAGACGTGAAGGTGTAGACCCAGACGTGTAGTTGTAGACCCAGGCGTGTAGGCGTAGACCCTGGCGTGTATGAGTAGACGCAGAGGTGTAGGTGTAGACCCTGGCGTGTAGGTGTAGACCCAGACGTGTAGGTGTAGACCCAGACGTGAAGGTGTAGACCCAGACGTGTAGGAGTAGACCCAGACGTGTAGGAGTAGACCCAGACGTGTAGGTGTAGACCCAGACGTGTAGGTGTAGACCCAGACGTGTAGGTGTAGACCCAGGCGTGTAGGTGTAGACCCAGGCGTGTAGGTGTAGACCCTGGCGTGTAGGTGTAGACCCAGACGTGTAGGTGTAGACCCTGGCGTGTAGGTGTAGACCCAGGCGTGTAGGTGTAGACCCTGGCGTGTAGGTGTAGACCCAGGGGTGTAGGTGTAGACTCAGGCGTGTAGGTGTAGACCCAGGCGTGTAGGTGTAGACCCAGACGTGTAGGTGTAGACCCAGACGTGTAGGTGTAGACCCAGACGTGTAGGTGTAGACCCAGGCGTGTAGGTGTATACCCAGGCGTGTAGGTGTAGACCCAGGCGTGTAGGTGTAGACCCAGGCGTGTAGGTGTAGACCCAGGCGTGTAGGTGTAGACCCAGACGTGTAGGTGTAGAATCAGGCGTGTAGGTGTAGACCCTGACGTGTAGGTGTAGACCCAGACGTGTAGGTGTAGAATCAGGCATGTAGGTGTAGACCCTGACGTGTAGGTGTAGAATCAGGCATGTAGGTGTAGACCCAGGCGTGTAGGTGTAGACCCAGACGTGTAAGTGTAGACCCAGTCGTGTAGGTGTAGAATCAGGCATGTAGGTGTAGACCCTGACGTGTAGGTGTAGAATCAGGCATGTAGGTGTAGACCCAGGCGTGTAGGTGTAGACCCAGGCGTGTAGGCGTAGACCCTGGCGTGTATGAGTAGACCCAGACGTGTAGGTGTAGACCCAGACGTGAAGGTGTAGACCCAGACGTGTAGGAGTAGACCCAGGCGTGTAGGTGTAGACCCTGGCGTGTAGGTGTAGACCCAGGCGTGTAGGTGTAGAATCAGGCGTGTAGGTGTAGACCCTGACGTGTAGGTGTAGACCCAGACGTGTAGGTGTAGACCTAGACGTGTAGGTGTAGACCCAGGCGTGTAGGTGTAGACCCAGACGTGTAGGTGTAGACCCAGTCGTGTAGGTGTAGAATCAGGCATGTAGGTGTAGATCCTGACGTGTAGGTGTAGAATCAGGCATGTAGGTGTAGACCCAGGCGTGTAGGTGTAGACCCAGACGTGTAGGTGTAGACCCAGACGTGTAGGTGTAGATCCAGACGTGTAGGTGTACACCCTGACGTGTAGGTGTAGACCCAGACGTGTAGGTGTAGACCCAGACGTGTAGGTGTAGACCCAGATGTGTAGGTGTAGACCCAGACGTGTAGGTGTAGACCCAGACGTGTAGGAGTAGACCCAGACGTGTAGGTGTAGACCCAGACGTGTAGGAGTAGACCCAGACGTGTAGGTGTAGACCCAGACGTGTAGGTGTAGACCCAGACGTGTAGGTGTAGACCCAGACGTGTAGGTGTAGACCCAGACGTGTAGGTGTAGACCCTGATGTGTAGGTGTATACCCAGACGTGTAGGTGTAGACCCAGACGTGTAGGTGTAGACCCTGACGTGTAGGTGTAGACCCAGACGTGTAGGTGTAGACCCAGACGTGTAGGTGTAGACCCAGACGTGTAGGTGTAGACCCAGACGTGTAGGTGTAGACCCAGACGTGTAGGAGTAGACCCAGACGTGTAGGTGTAGACCCAGACGTGTAGGTGTAGACCCTGATGTGTAGGTGTATTCCCAGACGTGTAGGTGTAGACCCAGACGTGTAGGTGTAGACCCTGACGTTTAGGTGTAGACCCAGACGTGTAGGTGTAGACCCAGACGTGTAGGTGTAGACCCAGACGTGTAGGTGTAGACCCAGACGTGTAGGTGTAGACCCTGATGTGTAGGTGTATACCCAGACGTGTAGGTGTAGACCCAGACGTGTAGGTGTAGACCCTGGCGTGTAGGTGTAGACCCAGACGTGTAGGTGTAGACCCTGACGTGTAGGTGTAGACCCAGGCGTGTAGGTGTAGACCCATGCGTGTAGGTGTAGACCCAGACGTGTATGAGTAGACCCAGACGTGTAGGTGTAGACCCAGACGTGTAGGTGTAGACCCAGACGTGTAGGTGTAGACCCAGACGTGTAGGTGTAGACCCAGGCGTGTAGGTGTAGACCCAGACGTGTAGGTGTAGACCCAGACGTGTAGGAGTAGACCCAGACGTGTAGGTGTAGACCCAGGCGTGTAGGTGTAGACTCTGGCGTGTAGGTGTAGACCCAGACGTGTAGGTGTAGACCCAGACGTGTAGGTGTAGACTCAGGCGTGTAGGTGTAGACCCAGACGTGTAGGTGTAGACCCAGACGTGTAGGTGTAGACTCAGGCGTGTAGGTGTAGACCCAGACGTGTAGGTGTAGACCCAGACGTGTAGGTGTAGACTCAGGCGTGTAGGTGTAGACCCAGACGTGTAGGTGTAGACCCAGGCGTGTAGGTGTAGACTCTGGCGTGTAGGTGTAGACCCAGACGTGTAGGTGTAGACCCAGACGTGTAGGTGTAGACTCAGACGTGTAGGTGTAGACTCAGACGTGTAGGTGTAGACCCAGACGTGTATGAGTAGACCCAGACGTGTAGGTGTAGACCCAGACGTGTAGGTGTAGACCCAGGCGTGTAGGTGTAGACCCAGGCGTGTAGGTGTAGACCCAGACGTGTAGGTGTAGACCCAGGCGTGTAGGTGTAGACCCAGGCGTGTAGGTGTAGACCCAGACGTGTAGGTGTAGACCCAGACGTGTAGGTGTAGACCCAGACGTGTAGGTGTAGACCCAGACGTGTAGGTGTAGACCCAGACGTCAGAGCCTCACAAGTCAAACACAAATCTACCGTAGATTATTTAACCATTGAGAGTTTAAGTTGCTATCTGTTTGCAAGTTCGAATTAACAGTGTTAATTCTATTAGTTCTTTCACGTATTAGCTAGTTTCTTATAGTTATATAATTTATAAGACGCGAAACTATTTGAGTTTCTTAATTGTTTCTTAATAATTTTCTTAATTATACTGCCCGAAACGCTTTGCGTAATAGTGGCTTTAGGCATTGTATGTACTAGCTCTATCTATAAAGCCAACAAACTTTGTAAATCTCTTTATGTATGTACCTTACCTAAATAAAGATTATTATTATTATTATTATTGTTTACGGCAGTGCGTGACGTAATAGCCAGAGGGAGTCGAACGGCTCCACGTAATGCGTTGCTCTCATTAACCACACACTTATGAGTTGCGTATTAATTTGTTAATTAAACTTAAACAAAGAGTGACTCTCTTAAAGTTTTAATTTAATATTTTTTAATTAAATTTTGTGGTAGTAAACATTTTCCACACGATATAATCCTGATGTAGGTGTGACAGAGATAGGATAAAGATAATATTACCCAGAGTGAGGTGTTAGAGAGCCAGGATAAACGTGATATTATCCCGAGTGAGGTGTTAGAGAGCCAGGATAAACATGTTATTACCCAGAGTGAGGTGTTAGAGAGCCAGGATAAACATGATATTACCCAGAGTGAGGTGTTAGAGAGCCAGGATAAACGTGATATTATCCCGAGTGAGGTGTTAGAGAGCCAGGATAAACATGTTATTACCCAGAGTGAGGTGTTAGAGAGCCAGGATAAACATGATATTACCCAGAGTGAGGTGTTAGAGAGCCAGGATAAACGTGATATTATCCCGAGTGAGGTGTTAGAGAGCCAGGATAAACATGTTATTACCCAGAGTGAGGTGTTAGAGAGCCAGGATAAACATGATATTACCCAGAGTGAGGTGTTAGAGAGCCAGGATAAACATGATATTACCCAGAGTGAGGTGTTAGAGAGCCAGGATAAACATGTCATTATCCCGCCACAGGTGAGCAGCAACTCTCTGCGACACTCGCAGTACGACACCTACCAGGCCTACACCAGCCTCCTCGACCCTGACTACTCCTGGACCACCATGCTGAGTATGTCGCAGACCTCACTATGCTGAGTATAACACCACCAGCCCTCACTATGCTGAGTATAACACCACCAGCCCTCACTATGCTGAGTATAACACCATCAGCCCTCACTATGCTGAGTATAACACCCCCAGCCCTCACTATGCTGAGTATAACACCACCAGCCCTCACTATGCTGAGTATAACACCACCAGCCCTCACTATGCTGAGTATAACACCACCAGCCCTCACTATGCTGAGTATAACACCATCAGCCCTCACTATGCTGAGTATAACACCACCAGCCCTCACTATGCTGAGTATAACACCATCAGCCCTCACTATGCTGAGTATAACACCCCCAGCCCTCACTATGCTGAGTATAGCACCCCCAGCCCTCACTATGCTGAGTATAACACCATCAGCCCTCACTATGCTGAGTATAACACCACCAGCCCTCACTATGCTGAGTATAACACCACCAGCCCTCACTATGCTGAGTATAACACCACCAGCCATCATTATGCTGAGTATAACACCCCCAGCCATCACTATGCTGAGTATAACACCACCAGCCCTCACTATGCTGAGTATAACACCTCCAGCCCTCACTATGCTGAGTATAACACCACCAGCCATCATTATGCTGAGTATAACACCCCCAGCCATCACTATGCTGAGTATAACACCCCCAGCCATCACAATGCTGAGAATAACACCACCAACCCTCACTATGCTGAGTATAGCACCATCAACCTTCACTATGCTGAGTATAACACCATCAACCTTCACTATGCTGAGTATAACACCATCAACCTTCACTATGCTGAGTATAACATCATCAACCTTCACTATGCTGAGTATAACATCATCAACCTTCACTATGCTGAGTATAACACCATCAACCATCACTATGCTGAGTATAACACCATCAACCTTCACTATGCTGAGTATAACACCATCAACCATCACTATGCTGAGTATAACACCATCAACCATCACTATGCTGAGTATAACACCATCAACTATCACTATGCTGAGTATAACACCATCAACCTTCACTATGCTGAGTATAACACTATCAACCATCACTATGCTGAGTATAACACCATCAACTATCACTATGCTGAGTATAAAACAATCAACCTTTACAACGCTGAGTATAACACCATCAACCATCACTATGCTGAGTATAACATCATCAACGAGTATTCATAGACTCATAATGGTATTGTGATTTCCATTGTGTATAACAACATTGTTCACCTTATTCACTAAGCTTTTTACAGCGACTATTCTCCATGTTCTTGGTGAACAATTTACATTTACACTCAATATGGGTTTAGTGTTATTCAATGTTATTATTTATTGTTACGGTAATTCTGGATAATATTTCAACATCTGAACTGAACGGTTAATTCCTCTATTGTGATTTGTAATGAGAGTTCATCTTGTATATGTAATTGTTATTACTGACTTATGGGGTGCCACCATCAAACATGGTGTGTCACCATCAAACATGGTGTGCCACCATCAAACATGGTGTGTCACCATCAAACATGGTGTGCCACCATCAAACATGGTGTGCCACCATCAAACATAGTGTGCCACCATCAAACATGGTGTGCCACCATCAAACATGGTGTGCCACCATCAAACATGGTGTGTCACCATCAAACATGGTGTGCCACCATCAAACATGGTGTGTCACCATCAAACATGGTGTGCCACCATCAAACATGGTGTGCCACCATCAAACATGGTGTGTCACCATCAAACATGGTGTGTCACCATCAAACATGGTGTGTCACCATCAAACATGGTGTGTCACCATCAAACATGGGGTGTCACCATCAAACATGGGGTGTCACCATCAAACATGGTGTGTCACCATCAAACATGGTGTGCCACCATCAAACATGGTGTGTCACCATCAAACATGGTGTGCCACCATCAAACATGGTGTGTCACCATCAAACATGGTGTGCCACCATCAAACATGGTGTGCCACCATCAAACATGGTGTGTCACCATCAAACATGGTGTGCCACCATCAAACATGGTGTGCCACCATCAAACATGGTGTGCCACCATCAAACATGGTGTGCTACCATCAAACATGGTGTGCCACCATCAAACATGGGGTGTCACCATCGAACATGGTGTGTCACCATCAAACATGGTGTGCCACCATCAAACATGGTGTGTCACCATCAAACATGGTGTGTCACCATCAAACATGGTGTGTCACCATTAAACATGGTGTGTCACCATCAAACATGGTGTGTCACCATCAAACATGGTGTGCCACCATCAAACATGGTGTGTCACCATCAAACATGGTGTGCCACCATCAAACATGGTGTGTCACATCAAACATGGTGTGCCACCATCAAACATGGTGTGCCACCATCAAACATGAGGTGCCACCATCAAACATTGTGTGTTACCATCAAACATGGTGTGTCACCATCAAACATGGGGTGCCACCATCAAACATGGTGTGTCACCATCAAACATGGTGTGCCACCATTAAACATGGTGTGCCACCATCAAACATGGTGTGCCACCATCAAACATTGTGTGTCACCATCAAACATGGTGTGCCACCATCAAACATGGTGTGCCACCATCAAACATGGTGTGCCACCATCAAACATGGTGTGCCACCATCAAACATGGGGTGCCACCATCAAACATGGTGTGCCACCATCAAACATGGTGTGTCACCATCAAACATGGTGTGTCACCATCAAACATGGTGTGTCACCATCAAACATGGTGTGCCACCATCAAACATGGTGTGCCACCATCAAACATGGTGTGTCACCATCAAACATGGTGTGTCACCATCAAACATGGTGTGTCACCATCAAACATGGTGTGTCACCATCAAACATGGTGTGTCACCATCAAACATGGTGTGTCACCATCAAACATGGTGTGTCACCATCAAACATGGTGTGTCACCATCAAACATGGTGTGTCACCATCAAACATGGTGTGTCACCATCAAACATGGTGTGCCACCATCAAACATGGGGTGCCACCATCAAACATGGTGTGCCACCATCAAACATGGTGTGCCACCATCAAACATGGTGTGTCACCATCAAACATGGTGTGCCACCATCAAACATGGTGTGTCACCATCAAACATGGTGTGCCACCATCAAACATGGGGTGCCACCATCAAACATGGTGTGCCACCATCAAACATGGTGTGCCACCATCAAACATGGGGTGCCACCATCAAACATGGTGTGCCACCATCAAACATGGTGTGCCACCATCAAACATGGTGTGTCACCATCAAACATGGTGTGCCACCATCAAACATGGTGTGCCACCATTAAACATGGGGTGCCACCATCAAACATGGTGTGCCACCATCAAACATGGTGTGTCACATCAAACATGGTGTGCCACCATCAAACATGGTGTGTCACATCAAACATGGTGTGCCACCATCAAACATGGTGTGTCACCATCAAACATGGTGTGCCACCATCAAACATGGTGTGTCACCATCAAACATGGTGTGCCACCATCAAACATGGTGTGCCACCATCAAACATGGTGTGCCACCATCAAACATGGTGTGCCACCATCAAACATGGTGTGTCACATCAAACATGGTGTGCCACCATCAAACATGGTGTGTCACATCAAACATGGTGTGCCACCATCAAACATGGTGTGTCACCATCAAACATGGGGTGCCACCATCAAACATGGTGTGCCACCATCAAACATGGTGTGTCACCATCAAACATGGTGTGCCACCATCAAACATGGTGTGCCACCATCAAACATGGTGTGTCACCATCAAACATGGTGTGCCACCATCAAACATGGTGTGCCACCATCAAACATGGTGTGTCACCATCAAACATGGTGTGCCACCATCAAACATGGGTGCCACCATCAAACATGGTGTGCCACCATCAAACATGGTGTGCCACCATCAAACATGGGGTGCCACCATCAAACATGGTGTGCCACCATCAAACATGGTGTGCCACCATCAAACATGGTGTGTCACCATCAAACATGGTGTGCCACCATCAAACATGGTGTGTCACCATCAAACATGGTGTGCCACCATCAAACATGGGGTGCCACCATCAAACATGGTGTGCCACCATCAAACATGGTGTGCCACCATCAAACATGGGGTGCCACCATCAAACATGGTGTGCCACCATCAAACATGGTGTGCCACCATCAAACATGGTGTGTCACCATCAAACATGGTGTGCCACCATCAAACATGGTGTGCCACCATCAAACATGGGGTGCCACCATCAAACATGGTGTGCCACCATCAAACATGGTGTGCCACCATCAAACATGTGCCACCATCAAACATGGTGTGCCACCATCAAACATGGTGTGCCACCATCAAACATGGTGTGCCACCATCAAACATGGTGTGCCACCATCAAACATGGTGTGCCACCATCAAACATGGTGTGCCACCATCAAACATGGTGTGCCACCATCAAACATGAGGTGCCACCATCAAACATGGTGTGCCACCATCAAACATGGTGTGTCAAACATGAGGTGCCACCATCAAACATGGTGTGCCACCATCAAACATGGTGTGCCACCATCAAACATGGTGTGCCACCATCAAACATGGTGTGCCACCATCAAACATGGTGTGCCACCATCAAACATGGGGTGCCACCATCAAACATGAGGTGCCACCATCAAACATGAGGTGCCACCATCAAACATTGTGTGTTACCATCAAACATGGTGTGTCACCATCAAACATGGGGTGCCACCATCAAACATGAGGTGCCACCATCAAACATTGTGTGTTACCATCAAACATGGTGTGTCACCATCAAACATGGGGTGCCACCATCAAACATGGTGTGCCACCATCAAACATGAGGTGCCACCATCAAACATTGTGTGTTACCATCAAACATGGTGTGTCACCATCAAACATGGTGTGCCACCATCAAACATGGTGTGCCACCATCAAACATGGTGTGCCACCATCAAACATGGTGTGCCACCATCAAACATGGTGTGCCACCATCAAACATGGGGTGCCACCATCAAACATTGTGTGTCACCATCAAACATGGTGTGTCACCATCAAACATGGTGTGTCACCATCAAACATGGTGTGTCACCATCAAACATGGTGTGTCACCATCAAACATGGTGTGCCACCATCAAACATGGTGTGTCACCATCAAACATGGTGTGTCACCATCAAACATGGTGTGTCACCATCAAACATGGTGTGTCACCATCAAACATGGTGTGTCACCATCAAACATGGTGTGCCACCATCAAACATGGTGTGTCACCATCAAACATGGTGTGTCACCATCAAACATGGTGTGCCACCATCAAACATGGTGTGTCACTATCAAACATGGTGTGTCACCATCGAACATGGTGTGTCACCATCGAACATGGTGTGACACCATCGAACATGGTGTGTCACCATCAAACATTGTGTGTCACCATCAAACATGGTGTGTCACCATCAAACATGGTGTGCCACCATCAAACATGGTGTGTCACCATCAAACATGGTGTGTCACCATCAAACATGGTGTGCCACCATCAAACATGGTGTGTCACCATCAAACATGGTGTGCCACCATCAAACATGGTGTGTCACCATCAAACATGGTGTGTCACCATCAAACATGGTGTGTCACCATCAAACATGGTGTGCCACCATCAAACATGGTGTGCCACCATCAAACATGGTGTGCCACCATCAAACATGGTGTGCCACCATCAAACATGGTGTGTCACCATCAAACATGGTGTGTCACCATCAAACATGGTGTGTCACCATCAAACATGGTGTGCCACCATCAAACATGGTGTGCCACCATCAAACATGGTGTGTCACCATCAAACATGGTGTGCCACCATCAAACATGGTGTGCCACCATCAAACATGGTGTGTCACCATCAAACATGGTGTGCCACTATCAAACATGGTGTGCCACCATCAAACATGGTGTGCCACCATCAAACATGGTGTGCCACCATCAAACATGGTGTGTCACTATCAAACATGGTGTGTCACCATCAAACATGGTGTGTCACCATCAAACATGACAACACCAAACAATGGCTGGGTGGTACACGATCCATTACATGTGCTGACTCTTCTCACAACAATTTAAATAAGTGTTGACTCTACCCACAGCGACTTATATTAGTGTTGACTCTACCCACAGCGACTTATATTAGTGTTCACTCTACCCACAGCGACTTATATTAGTGTTGACTCTACCCACAGCGACTTATATTAATGTTGACTCTACCCACAGTGACTTATATAAGTGCTGACTCTGCCCACAGCGAGTTTGGTGGGGGCGGTGACGACGGTGCTGAGTGAGAGTGACCTCCCGCCCCTCCGGATGAGTGACCTCAGCGGTGACCTCTACAATGGCTGGCAACACTTCCTTGACCTCCACACCACCGCCCTTACCAACTCCGGCTACAACTTCACCTCTATCTTAGGTGGGTCCTGGGTACTGTAGGTGGGTCATGAGAACTGTAGGTGGGTCATGGGTACTGTAGGTGGGTCCTGGGTACTGTAGGTGGGTCCTGCGTACTGTAGGTGGGTCCTGGGTACTGTAGGTGGGTCCTGGGTACTGTAGGAAGGTCATGGGTACTGTAGGTGTGTCCTGGGTACTGTAGGTGGGTCCTGCGTACTGTAGGTGGGTCATGAGAACTGTAGGTGGGTCATAGGTACTGTAGGTGTGTCCTGGGTACTGTAGGTGGGTCCTGCGTACTGTAGGTGGGTCCTGGGTACTGTAGGTGGGTCCTGGGTACTGTAGGTGGGTCCTGGGTACTGTAGGTGGGTCCTGGGTACTGTAGGTGGGTCCTGGGTACTGTAGGTGGGTCCTGGGTACTGTAGGTGGGTCTTGGGTACTGTAGGAGGGTCCTGGGCACTGTTGCTGGGTCTTAGGTACTGTAGGAGGGTCCTGGGTACTGAAGGTGGCTCCTGGGTACTGTAGATGGGTCCTGGGCACTGAAGGTGGGTCCTGGTTACTGTAGGAGGGTCCTGGGTACTGTAGGAGGGTCCTGGGTACTGTAGGTGGGTCCTGGGTACTGTAGATGGGTCCTGGGTGCTGATGGTGGGTCCAGGGTACTGTAGATGGGTCCTGTGTACTGAAGGTGGGTCCTGGGTACTGTAGGAGGGTCCTGGGTACTGTAGGGGGGTCCTGGGTACTGAAGGTGGGTCCTGGGTACTGTAGATGAGTCCTGGGTACTGAAGGTGGGTCCTGGGTACTGTACGAGGGTCCTGGGTACTGAAGGTGGGTCCTGGGCACTGTAGGAGGGTCATGGGTACTGTAGGTGGGTCCTGGGTACCGTAGGTGGGTCCTGGGTACTGTATGTGAGTCATAAGTACTGTAGGAGGGTCATGGGTACTGTAGGTGGGTCCTGGGTACTGTAGGTGGGTCCTGGGTACTGTATGTGAGTCATAGGTACTGTAGGTGGGTCATGGGTACTGGAGGAGGGTCATAGGTACAGTAGGAGAGTCCTGGGTACTGAAGGTGGGTCCTGGGTACTGTAGGTGGGTCCTGGGCACTGTTCGTGGGTCCTAGGTACTGTAGGAGGGTCGTGGGTACTGTAGGTGGGTCCTGGGTACTGTAGGTGGGTCCTGGGTAATGTAGGTGGGTCCTGGGTACTGTAGGTGGGTCCTGGGTACTGTAGGTGGGTCCTGGGTACTGTAAGTGAGTCATAGGTACTGTAGGTGGGTCATGGGTACTGTAGGAGGGTCATAGGTACTGTAGGAGGGTCTTGGGCACTGTTGGTGGGTCCTGGGTACTGTAAGAGGGTCCTGGATACTGAAGGTGGGTCGTGGGTACTGTAGGTGGGTCCTGGGTACTGTAGATGTGTCTTGGGCACTGTAGGAGGGTCCTGGGTACTGTAGGTGGGTCCTGGGCACTGTAGGTGGGTCTTGGGTACTGAAGGTGGGTCCTGGGTACTATATGAGGGTCCTGGGCACTGTAGGAGGGTCCTGGGTACTGTAGGAGGGTCCTGGGTACTGAAAGTGGGTCCTGGGTACTGTAGGTGGGTCCTGGGTACTGTAGGTGGGTCCTGGGTACTGAAGGTGGGTCTTGGGAACTGTAGGTGGGTCCTGGGGTACTGTAGGTGGATTTTGGGTACTGTAGGTGGGTCCTGGGTACTGTAGGCGGGTCCTGGGTACTGTAGATGGGTCCTGGGTACTGTAGGTGGGTTTTGGGTACTACAGGTGGGTCCTGGGTACTGTAGGTTGGTCATGGGTACTGTAGGTGGCTCTTAGGTACTGTAGGTGGGTCATGGGTACTGTAGGTGGGATATGGGTACTGTAGGTGGGACCTGGGTAGTGTTGGTGGGTACTTAGTACTGTAGGTGGGTCCTGGGTACTGTAGGTTGGTCATGGGTACTGTAGGTGGCTCTTAGGTACTGTAGGTGGGTCATGGGTACTGTAGGTGGGTCCTGGGTACTGAAGGTGGGACATGGGTACTGTAGGTGGGACATGGGTACTGTTGGTGGGTCCTTGGTACTGTAGACCGGTCCTGGGTACTGTAGGTTGGTCATGGGTACTGAAAGTGGATCGTGGGTACTGTAGGTGGGTCGTGGGTACTGTAGGTGGGTCCTGTGTAATGTAGGTGTGTCATGGGTACTGTAGGTGGATCCTGGGTACTGTAGGTGGGTCGTGGGTACTGTAGGTGGGTCCTGGGTAATGTAGGTGGGTCATGGGTACTGTTGGTGGGTCATGGGTACTGTAGGTGGGTCGTGGGTACTGTAGGTGGGTCGTAGGTACTGTAGGTGGGTCCTGGGAACTGTAGGTGATCCTGGGTACTGTAGGGGGGTCCTGGGTACTGTAGGAGGGTCATGGGTACTGTAGGTGGGTCTTAGGTACTGTAGGTGGGTCATGGGTACTGTAGGTGGGTCGTGGGTAATGTAGGTGGGACGTGGGTACTGTAGGTGGGTCATGGGTACTGTAGGTGGGTCGAGGGTATTGTAGGTTGGTTCTGGGTACTGTAGGTGGGTCATGGGTACTGTAGGTGGATCCTGGGTACTTTAGTTGGGTCAAGGGTACTGTAGGTGCGTCGTGGGTATTGTAGGTGGGTCATGGGTACTGTAGGTGGATCCTGGGTACTGCAGGTGGGTCATGGGTACTGTAGGTGGGTCGTGGGTACTGTAGGTTGGCCGTGGGTACTGCAGGTGGGTCCTGTGTACTGTACGTGGGTTCTGGGTAATGTAGGTGGGTCATGGGTACTGTAGGTGGGTCATGGGTACTGTAGGTGGGTCATGGGTACTGTAGGTGGATCATAGGTACTGTAGGTGGGTCATAGGTATTGTAGGTGGGTCATGGGTACTGTAGTTGGGTCATGGATATTGTAGGTGGGTCCTGGGGTACTGTAGATGGGCCCTGGGTTCTGTAGGTGGGTCATCGGTACTGTAGGTGGGTCGTGGGTACTGTAGGTGGGTCGTGGGTACTGTAGGTGGGTCTTGGGTACTGTAGGTGGGTCATGGGTAGTGTAGGTGGGTCGTGGGTACTGTAGGAGGGTCCTGGGTACTGTAGGAGGGTCTTGGGTACTGTAGGAGGGTCCTGGGTACTGAAGGTGAGTCCTGGGTATTGTAGGAGGGTCCTGGGTACTGTAGGAGGGTCCTGGGTACTGTAGGTGGGTCCTGAGTACTGTAGGAGGGTCCTGGGTACTAAAGGTGGGTCCTGGGTACTGTAGGAGGGTCCTGGGTACTGTAGGAGGGTCCTGGGTACTGAAGGTGGGTCCTGGGTATTGTAGGAGGGTCCTGAGTACGGTAGGAGGGTCCTGGGTACTGTAGGTGGATGCTGAGTACTGCAGGAGGGTCCTGGGTACTGAAGGTGGGTCCTGGGTACAGTAGGAGGGTCCTGGGTACTGCAGGAGAGTCCTGGGTACTGTAGGAGGGTCCTGGGTACTGTAGGTGGGTCCTGGGTACTTACGGTGGGTCCTGGGTACTGTAGGAGGGTCCTGGGGACTGTTTGTGGGTCCTGGGTACTGTAGGAGGGTCCTGGGTACTGTAGGTGGGTCCTGGGTACTGTAGATGGGTCCTGGGTACTGAAGGTGGGTCCTGGGTACTGTAGGAGGGTTCTGGGTACTGAAGGAGGGTCCTGGGTACTGGAGGTGGGTCCTGGGTACTGTAGGTGGGTCCTGGGTACTGTAGGTGGGTCCTGGGTACTGTGAGTCATAGGTACTGTAGGTGGGTCATGGGTACTGTAGGTGGGTCATAGGTACTGTAGTTGGGTCCTGGGTACTGTAGTCGGGTCATGGATACTGTAGGTGGGTCCTGGGTACTGTAAGAGAGTCATAGGTACTTTAGGTGGGTCATGGGTACTGTAGGTGGGTCATAGGTACTGTAGGTGGGTCTTGGGTACTGTAGGTGGGTCCTGGGTACTGTAGGTGGGTCCTGGGTACTGTAGGTGGGTCTTGGGCACTGTAGGTGGGTCCTGGGTACTGTAGGTGGGTCATGGATACTCTAGGTGGGTCATGGGTACTGTAGGTGGGTCTTGGGTACTGTAGATGGGACATGGGTACTGTAGGTGGGACCTGGGTAGTGTTGGTGGGTCCTGGTACTGTAGGTGGGTCCTGGGTATTGTAGGTTGGTCATGGGTACTGTAGGTGGCTCTTAGGTACTGTAGGTGGGTCATGGGTACTGTAGGTGGGTCCTGGGTACTGAAGGTGGGACATGGGTACTGTAGGTATAACATGGGTACTGTTGGTGGGTCATGGGTACTGAAAGTGGATCGTGGGTACTGTAGGTGGGTCGTGGGTACTGTAGGTGGGTCCTGTGTAATGTAGGTGTGTCATGGGTACTGTAGATGGGTCCTGGGTACTGTAGGTGGGTCGTTGGTACTGTAGGTGGGTCCTGGGTAATGTAGGTGGGTCATGGGTACTGTTGGTGGGTCATGGGTACTGTAGGTGGGTCGTGGGTACTGTAGGTGGGTCGTGGGTACTGTAGGTGGGTCCTGGGTACTGTAGGTGGATCCTGGGCACTGTAGGTGGGTCTTAGGTACTGTAGGTGGGTCATGGGTACTGTAGGTGGGTCGTGAGTACTGTAGGTGGGACGTGGGTACTGTAGGTGGGTCATGGGTACTCTAGGTGGGTCGAGGGTATTGTAGGTTGGTTCTGGGTACTGTAGGTGGGTCATGGGTACTGTAGGTGGGTCATGGGTACTGTAGATGGATCCTGGGTACTGAAGGTGGGTCCTAGGTACTGTAGGAGGGTCCTGGGTACTGAAGGAGGGTCCTGGGTACTGTAGGTGGGTCCTGGGTACTGTAGGTGGGTCCTGGGTACTGTAGGTGGGTCCTGAGTACTGTAAGTGAGTCATAGGTACTGTAGGTGGGTCATGGGTACTGTAGGTGGGTCATAGGTACTGTAGGTGGGTCTTGGGTACTCTAGTCGGGTCAGGGATACTGTAGGTGGGTCCTGGGTACTGTAAGTGAGTCATAGGTATTTTAGGTGGGTCATGGGTACTGTAGGTTG